CGGCCTGGGCCGGCGCAGGCGCCTCCCCGCCCTCCTTCCTTCCGCCTCCTCCCGCGCTCGCGATTTAAACCCGGGTGCCCCCGCCCCGCCCGCCGCGCCCCCTTCCAACGGGGCTGGGTGCGCGGGATCTCAGCGGGGGAGGCTGGACCCCTCCGGGCAGGGGAGCCATTCGTTGGTCCAGCTCGCACATCCAGTCTTCGCGCTGAGTAGCAGCAGGACTGGACATTGCCCCTCTCCAGGAGCGCACGACCAGGATGGGGCGTAGATTAGTAAACATATTTGTAGGAGCGTGATAAGCGCTTTCACGGGTACGGGAGATTTGAAAGAGGACATCTCGGGCAGAGTCAGGGAAGATTTCACAGAAGTTACTTGCAAATTGAATCCTGGTGGATGAGTAGGAAGTTTGGCGGGTGAAGAAAGGTCGGGCGTTTTAGGTCGAGAATGTAGCATGTGCAAAGGGACCGACGTGTGAGGCCACGTTGAGGCCGCAGGAATCCCCGCTCCCAGCCCGGGTGGAGTGCAAGCCACCGCAGAGACGAAAACGAAGGGCTGCAGTTGTTAATGGCAAGGGTCTCAGTGTGGCGGGAAGATAGGTACAGATCATAGGTTCACATAAGTGGTTGATTTCAGTGATTGGAAATTCACAGGATTTCTGAGAGCTGGAGGAGGAAAGGGGCGGTGTTTCTGAGAGCGTTTATTTCACCACCCGAGCCCCAGTTATAATTTGGCTACATAAAGGTGGTAATTATATAGCACGGTTTTACCCCAAAAGATGAGAAGAAATGGTTGGAGGGAATGTGAGCGGCCTGTATTTGTGGGAGGAGAGGAGCCCCCGGAGAGGCTGAGAGTAAAATGAATGAAGGGATGGGTAGGATGGGTGGTCAGGGTGTTAGTGGAACGGACATTTAGAGGTGAGGGGATAGGTCTTGTTAAGAGGTGTAGGGATCCATGAGCATAGAAAGAGTCCTCCGTTATGGCATTCCCATTTCCCCTGTGAGCCAGGAGATTTATTAGGAAGAAGGAAGGGAGCTGGGGAAGGGGGAGTTGGGGTCTGTAGACGTGGCTGAGAAGCTGAGCTGGGGACCCTCTCTTCTTATTGCTGTCTCTCCACTGTGCCCTGCCCAGGTATAGAGGAAGGGGACGTTTGTGATTGGATTTTATATACATAGATAAGTATGCAGTTGATAGTAAAAGATAACACTTTTGAAAGTGATTTCCCAAAGAGAAGAGAGTTTCATCTACATGTAGATTTATATGCGCTAAATCACTAAGACTTAGGAGACATTCTGGATTTAAACGTTATGTTTGAACTGGGCGCAGTGGTGTATGCCTGTAATCTTCGCTCTCCGGAGGCTAAGGCAGGAGGATAGTTGCGAGTTTGAGACCAGCCAAGGCCAGCCCGAACTGCATAGTGAGACCCTGTCTCAACAAGACAAAAACAAAACAAAACAAAACAAAACACTCTTTATAAGAGTAATTTACTTAAAACAGGCTTGTACATAGATAGTTAAGGGTTCCCTATTTTTGTTTTGCCTGGACTCTTGGAAAGTATTTTAATTTTTGCTTAAACCTCCGGTTGTTGTAAAATTTAAAATACTGTTCTTGAGAATGATTTTCAGTAGGTGATATGTTGGTGGCATGCATGTCTCTTGATTTCTGGTGTGTAAGACGTCTCTTCCAAGATCTGGGCCTGGTCCCCACTGTCCTTTCCTCCTCTCCGTTGCATACATTTGCTCACCTGCTCAGTAGAGTCCATTCCAGTTCTTTTCAGTAGTGAGAGTTGAGAGTTCTTGACAGTTTTTTTTTTACTTAGACACTTGCCTTGCCTGAGGGCGCTGTATTTAACTTCTTTGAGCCCCAGTGTTAGTTTTGCTAAATACAAAAGGCGTACACTGAGGTATTGTGCACATTCATCTTTGGCAGGACTTTGACCTTCTTGGAAAAGAGCTGTCATATCTATTGGTTATGACTGGTTGTAATACTTCACGATAAGAATGAAGGCAGTTCATGCTGGAAAATTCTAGAAATCTTCCACTAAAGTTGGGACTGTGTCCTTCCAACTACAGTTGTTCTGACCTTGGTGGCAATAGATGATTGTCAGTTGCCTTTAACTTCCTTAGAAGATCAAACTCACCCGCTGGTCACTTGTAGGTGAGATATTTTATTCCACTTGTCCTTTCTTATAGCCTCATTTAAGAAGGAGCCAACACCCCTCTCCCCGCAGGTTCTTGACTCTCTAGAATATCTTTCTCTAGCTCCTGATCAGGGATAGGTATGTAGCCTGCTGTTCAGTGTTTGAAAGTTTATAGCCAGAGAGATGTGGGCCAGAAGCCCAGCAGCTGGCAATCCAGAGATGTTCTGGTTAGTTGGCACTGGAGGAGGTGGGGTTCCAGCGGAGAGGAGAGGACGGGCGTGAACCCTGCATATGGGCACTTTGCTGGGTAAACCGCCCAGTTTTTAGAGGTTGTTGGGCTCACGTTTTCCTTGAGATAATGTGCATTCCAAGGCTAAATTTCACTTAGGGTGTTAGGCTTTTGGCAGCTGCCCTCCTCTAGCTTTTGCCCTTTAGCACCAAATCCCTATTCATGAAATCAAGGGTTGCTACTGCATTCTTAAACTGCCATTCTACTAGTTTTTGTACTTCAGTTAACTTACATGCTTTGGAAGAAGGTCCATCCAGGTATTTAATGACTTACTCATGATTAGATGCTCATGATTAGGTACTTACTCATGACTTACTCGTGTTATAAATATTCGTTTTTTTTTTTTTTCTTCCATGCTGTCTTTGTGTCTTTTTCTAGTCAGTAAAGTAGCTCAAATATGTGGAGTTTAACTTACCCTAATTGACATTCATTTCATTTATATCTCTAAACTCTGAACTTTCTTGTTTTTTCATAAGATTTCTGTTTTACTATGCTGATTATTACTTGGGTACCAAATCTGCATTTTGGTTTGAAGTTGGAGATGGCTGTCCTAGTCTGGTGTAGCTTGGGATTCTTCTTGTTATAGCTCATCTGAATGGATGCTGACAGTAATGGAGCTGGAAGAAATGCCTGCTTGTAATCCAGGCCTCATTTAGGACAGCTGGTACCCAGAGAGGTTGAGGGACTTAACCAAAGGGTCATTGATTGAGAAGGAGTGGAGATGAGAATTTGTTTCTCGAATCCTAGCCCAAGGGCCTTTTCATGTCACCCCATCGCCTCCCCAACATGCTATTTGACCATAAAGTGGAGTAACTGCCTTGGGTATGGCCTGTGTGCATTTTATGTGAGTTCCCTCCTTCCCCCTTCGTAGTCTTACTGCTTAACTTACGCTATTGCAAATTCGATATTAAATCCTGATCTCACATTGAGATTGAGTTCGTCCTCTGAAAAGATAGCAAGTTTTGGTTAGAGAGGGATGATTCACCTTATGAAATGTTCTTTGTGTTTGTTTACAGAAGAAAAATAATTGTGGTAAACAGTGCATTTTGTCCCTGTCTGGCCAAGGAAACATTGCTTAACTTCCCTGAGCTTTAATCACTTTATCTGAAAAATGGGACTAATAATAATCTGTAAAATGGGAATAATCCCCCTGCTAACATTTTTGAGGATTAAATGAATATGTGTGAACTGTTTGATATGGTGCCTGGCACGTAGCACGATGGGAGTGTTAGCAGCTGAGTTTGGGAGAGTTTTCTGTAGTCCTTCGCTTTCCATCAGGACTTGTCAGCCCAGTTATGTGATTTTTCAGTTAGTCTCACTAGGAGACGCTACGTTATGATGTTTTTCTGAGAAGCAACGTTCCTTCTCTTTTTTCCTTTGTTTTTGCTTCCGTAGTGAGTGTTCTTCTTTTGCTGTAATACCAGATATTTGTTTAAGAAAAGATGTGGCATATGAATTTTCACTGATTATAGTTTTCTTCTTTTTCAGGATCTGGAATGCCCTGACAGATAATTTTGGAAATGTCATGCCTGTAGACTGGAAGTCATCCCATACTAGGACTCTACATTTGCTTACTCTGAACCTCTCAGAAAAAGGGGTAAGTTGAACCAGTAGTTTCTGCATGACTGGTGTTGACAGTGGAAGCAGAACAGTGGCGTTTCTGTTCGGCACACATTCATTGAGTTGCCGCGCTTTCCCCGCACGGGCCGTCTTGGCTGCACTGCTGTTTCTCTGCTAGTGCAGTCGTCCGGCTTCATCTCAGCACATGTCTACTCTGTGTGCTCAGCTGTTCCCATCGCCTGGGAAAATGTGGGCACCAAAGATCTCCTTTTCTTCCTATTTACATAACATTGGCGTGCTGAGAACACTCACTGAGAATCCCAGCCTTTGCCCTTGTGTACTGAGGGTATTGGAATATCAACATAGAGTTCACTTACTGGTGAATTTAGTGACTTGCTGGACGTGACCTGTTGTCCAAAGAGCACGTATTTCGGTGAATATTGAGGAATCATTAAAAGACATTTCAGTTCCTGGCTTTTTAATGTATGCATGGCTAACTCATCCTGCTTGAGGCTCCTGCATATATCCTGGTATTGTTAGGTGAAGATGCCTGGGTAAGAAGTGTGAGACAAGATAGGATGGCTAGGGGGCCAGAGAAGGGGAGAGAATTGCTTCAAGTGGAAATCATAGTGCTAAATTTGCTTAAGCTGTTGAGAAGCATAGCCAAATGATGTAAATTTTAGGGCCAGACTGTTTAAGCCCCTTAGCAAATAACACTGTAAGCTCATGTCAGATTATCTGGCGTGCTCTATAGTTCATTAAGTGTGTGTGATTACTGAGAGTCTAAGGCAGTAGGGCTGTAAGGATTTTAAATAGTATTGTTAATGTTTTGAGAACTATGACTCAGAAGAGCCTGCTGCTTTCATTTTCTAATGGAACAGAATTCTGACTGTTTCCCAGTGTTACAGTATGTGGAGTGTTACTGTTTGTTCCTGCCTTTAATCTCATTAAAGCTTTTCAGATTGACCAGGCATGCATTCAGTGGAAAAGAACAAAACAAAATATGTTGTGCTCTGTCTTCTATTTATTTAGGTCCTGGGCTATCATTGTTGGCTTCGTTTAAGTTCCCTTCCCTTTCTGAAGCTTCCTATTACCGCTTTTAGCCTTTGCTGATCTCATGGAATTATACAATTTTAGAGTTGGAAGGGACTTTAAAGAACATGTAATCCAGCCTCACTTGGCGGGGAGGGATCCCCACCTACAGCCTCCCAGACAGATGGTCACTTAGCCTTGCCTGAATCCTTCCACCCTTCTGTGTGGAAGTTGCCAACACCGGAGGGGATACGAACTTTTAAAGGACTTGTTATCTGTCCTACAGAATTTAACCCTGTTGCCTCATGGGTACTAATTCCCACAGCCCTTTTTCATGTTTCTGTAAAATCATTAGTGTTTTTCATGAATCATGCTTTCTGGGTTTGTCATTAGACTGACTTCCCAGCAGATATCTCTGTATTTGTCTCTTTAATAACTACCACAGTACCTGGCACTGGGTGAGTACTGAGACCCGTGTTTGTTTTGTGATACTGAGCGCGAGATAACTTCATCAGTGTGGCTGTCAGTCAGAGATCACGATGGAAGGTCTTTTTTTTTTTTTTAATATTTTTTATATTATTTAAAACAGTGCTGAATCCATAAGAGTCAGCTAATGAATACTTTTTTGTTTGACATATTAGAAAATAGCATAGAAAAGTCTTTATGGTTTCAAAGAGAAGTGCATTAGCAGTACAAATGGGCCCTCCAATCCAATTTCATTGAATAAAATGTGAGTCTTGTTATTGTTCTTAGATTGCATCTTGGGAGGTGGAGCTGTACTTCGAATGTGGTTTTCAATGCTAGAGGCATGAATGGTGCTGCCAAGGTAGTGATTAGTAAAGACTTAACTTACTACTAGTAAGGGTAAAAGCTTCACCTAGAATAAGTCTGCAAATTAAAGCAAGCAGGCGATCATTCATCTATCTTATTAATCAGTCAATCAGTCAATCACCTGTCTATCCTAAAATGGCTATTGTGGTGATGAACAGAACTGAAATTAGTCTATTTCTTAAGGAGAATTAATAGGCAACAAGGTCTATGTAAGAAGCAACCATGTCACTCAATGGAGGGGTGCATAATTTAAAAATATTTTTTAACCTGAGAATATTTTTATTTACTGCTGTTAACTGGCTGTTCTGTTCTTTCCATGACGACGCTGTGTACACTTTACCTTTTGGAAGCATTGTTTAGATTACCAGAGCTGTCAAGCAGGGTCTGGAGGAAATTTTTTCTTGACAATAGGAGATTTATTTACTTAGCTTTTGCATTAGGATGAGAAAAACCTTGAGTTTGGGAGAATTCAGTGCTTTGTTTTCTTTGTTTGTTGTTATTGAAGGTTAAGATGCACTTTTCTAACTTGCTGGGTCTTTTCTAGAATAAGGCAGTCGGGGCATTTCAGACTCCTGCATGAGCTCGTGGTTCCCACTTGATGTGTCCGTCTGCAGTTTCATGCAGGGAAACAGGCCCACCAGCTCTTGTGTCTGAGCCGGGCATAGTAAGGAGTGATGGGAACTCTTGGCACAAAGAGGGCACGTTTACCCTAATGGGAGAATGAGTGATAATCCCCATGACAGCCAAGGGTAGTTACCAAAGCCTGAGAGGGATGCTAGCGCATGGCATATGCCATCTCCGTGGGGAGTGGGCTTGGCTGCCTCTCTGGAACTATCTTAGATCACTACTGCTGTTGTTGTGGAAATTTATTATACTAGTTTATTATATTACTGTTATATCTTGGACTTCTTTGAAATCTGGTACAATTCTTGCATATGCTTCTATTTCATTTGTGAGGCAACAGCTCCTGTACGTCTTCCTCCTTCTACACACACCACTTCTAGGAGAGAGACTTCATGAACTGTATCTGTACATCTTTATAAGACACAGGAAGAATGTCTTCCTTAGGAGTTATTTCAAATTAAAACTTTATTTATAAACCAGAAGGGGAAAATAAGACAAAACTATGTTGTTCAAGGCACAGATCTGAGACGTGGGAGGGCAGACGGGTTTGGAGTGCAGGGATCAGTGACCAAAGTTGTCAGGTGCACCCCAAGCCATCCTTATCATCACAGTGTGACGCTTTTTTCAACTTAGCTTCTTGAAATCCAACATTGCCTCATGAAGAGCCTTGTCTCTTGATCTTTCTTATTAAATTAGTAAAGAAAAAACGGTCGTAATTTTAAAAGCAGCCTAGAACCATAGGCTTTAGATGAACAGGCAGGCTCTGTGCCACTGACTTTGCCCTTGAGTTTTAGTTACAGCAGGCAGCCACTTCTAACTGCCTCAGCTGCCGCTTCTAGCAGAGCACCTGCTTATTTTACTTTCATTTTTAAATTTTAGACTGTATCCATTGACCCAAAGCTTGCAGATTTAGCTGTCCTACAGTTCTCTAGCCTCTAAGTCTAACCTTCACACAAATCTTCCCTATCTCCCAATGTAATCGTATCAAAATCCTTGGTGAGGGGCTGGGGATTTAGCTCAGCGGCAAAAGCGCCTGCCTGGCATGCGCAAGGTCGTGAGTTCGGTTCCCGGTACTGGAGAAAAACAAACAAACAAACAAAAAAAACAACAACAAAATCCTTGGTGAATTGGTCATCATTTCTACTATTTAAATACTCACGGCAAACTCATTTTGGTATATTATTTACTTCCAATACAATTTTTGTCTCTTGCCTAGGGTAATGATACTTACCTTTTTTATGGGTTGTTTAGTTAATAACTAGCTCACCAGTCTTGTAGTAAATGGAATCTACTGGGTTAACAGTTTCTCTGCTGTTTGCCGTGCCTTTCTTGATGCCTTGTGCAGTAAGTTCTAATCTGAACTAGTTGCTCTCAGTTTAGCTTCGCAGCTGTGATTCTAGGATGTTTACTTCCTCTGTCCTTACAGGAATTCCCTTCACTTGTCTTTTTTATTGTTAGATCCTGTGTCTTCTTCCTTTTCATTTTCTAGCAGGCCACGGTTCCTTCCCTTTCCCTCTCATTGGCAGTTTCTTACACCCTGTTGTCTGTTCACCCTTGAACTTCACCTGCTCCTCTCCCAGGAACTTGGGAGGTGGTAGGGACCCGCAGCTCTTCCATTGGGTCCTCAGTTTTAGATACATCCTTGGTGCTAATAAATAAATTAATTTTCACAGATGAAGCGTATTACTTTAATTACAGTAGATGTAATATATTTATATACAGGTTGAATAGCTCTTATGAGAAATTCTTTAGAAGTGTTTTAAATTCTGAGTGGTTTTGGATTCTGGAATATTTGCATGTAATAATAAAATATCTTGAGATGGAACTCAAGTCTAGACGTAGACTTTATCTTTCATATACACCAAGTATACCTAGTCTGGCAGTAATTTATGCAGTGTTTTAGTGCACCTGTGTTCTAAGTGTGACCTGTCACGTGAGGTCAGGTGTGGAATTTTCCACTTGTACTGTCATGTCAATGCTCAAAAAGTTTTAGATTTAAGATTTTCAGATTAAATTTGCTTAATCTGTAATATAATATATTATTCTTTTATATACCATGAAATGGAATGACCTGGTTTCTTCTTACATAATCCTTGTTGCCCGCTTGTTCTGCAAGAACTCAATGTGTACTGATCCTTCCCAAGAAATAGATTTCTTATTTCAGTTCTGCTCTCACTAGAATAGTCATGTCATGATAGATAGATAGAGAGATAGAGAGATAGATGATAGATTGATGATCACTTATCCACTTGAATCTGCTAAGTTTTTCCCCGTCAGACTTTTATAATTGGTATTGGTACTGAATTGTAAGCGTTAGGACGGGAGCTGTTTTATTGGTGTGCGCAAGGTTAAGGGTAACCAACTAGGCATGGCTGAATACTCCAGAGATGGCAGCAGCCTGTAGCACTTGACCGTCCCGGACATGAATAGGTAGGGAGAGGGAGAAGTTTTTAGAACCTAGAGAGATTAGCTGTGGGGAGAGGTCTGCTTGACGAGAGCTGTGGCCTTTGGTAAAGAGCCAGAGGCGACAAATGGCAGTCTGGCAGGGAGGAAGGTACCAGGGCAAGTGCCAGCCCTCACCCTCTCACCTTGCAGTCTCCCCGTGTCTGCCAGCGCCGTGTAACTCAGCTGAAGCCAGAGGTCAAGGGCACCCTTTGATGTGGTCCATAGGGTCAGGCTCATGGGCACCGAGTGTGGGAGAGAACGTGGGTGAGGTGGTTGGAGACTTTCCGACACAGTTAGGTTTGAAGATGTTTTGGAATCTAGAGATACTCTTTTGGGAAGAAGAGATGTTCCACTGGAAGGGCTGCGACCCTCCTGGATTGATCCTGTCTGCCAGGATGTTAATTACGTATCTGTTACTCTGAATGTTATCCAGTTACTCACTTTACGTTTTCTGTGTACGTTTAACACACCGATCTTGCCTCTGGATTCTTAATCTAGCATTGCTAAGCCTGCCTATTTTCTCCCTTCTATTTGTTCTAAATTCTGTTTTTACCTGAATAGTATCTTTTTTTCCCCTCAATAACTTGTCAGCTTTTGTAGTGTTCTTACAGGGAAAAAAATAGCTAAGTATGTGTCTGTGTGAGGCCATAGGGATGTAAACATAACTTTTAGCACTTTGGAATTTGTTCTGACTGGTTCTTTCTGCTTGGGATGACTATGTAAAGTGTTACACACCTGGTCCAGAGTGATCAATAACTTCTCCTTTTCAAGGAATATCTCTCCACATGTGCTTTTTACTGCCTTCTCGTTTACCCAGAGCTGCTCACTTTGTTTTTGTCAAAGTGTCCTACCTTTAATCATGGGTGTTTTTTCTTTTAGATAAGCGAAGGTTTGCTCTTTGACACATCGGATGATGAGGAGCTGAGAGAGCAGTTGGATATGCATTCAATCATCGTCTCTTGTGTTAATGAGGAGCCCTTGTTCACGGCAGACCAGGTATCAAGATAGTCTTCATCAATGCTAGGAGAGCAGAATATAGAGCTGAGAACCATTGCATACTGATATGTCAGAATTTACTTATTTTTCTTACATTGTGTAGATATATAGCTTTATCATTTAACTCTTCCACTGAAGAAAAGAAGAAAGTATATGTTGTCTGATGGTGAAATTTTGTTAATTGGGTAGATTTTTAATGTAGGCATTATTAAAGAGTACAAGTTACTAAGGGAGGTGTATTTCTTAAAGCAAAATCACAAAAATATTGGGAATTTCCTACTTTCTTTAGATTTACCTAAACATGGGTAAATATGTGTAATATATCTGTATAGAAATAGATCTTTATTTATTTTATTTCAAACTCTGGGTAAGAAACACTCATATGTATTAGATGTACCTTTTATGTGCCCCAGAAAGAAGCGAGCATTATTCCTGTGGAATGCTCTAATAATGTCAGCCCTGTATTCACTGGAAACCAGTTGAATCAGCTTTCTCATTTTTTGAATACTCCTCCCACCTCTGTTGCATTGTCAAAATGGGAGGCCAGAACTTCTTCCTGAAATAAAATGTTCCTCGCTACTGGGACGGAATTCTACCACCCTCTATTTTTAGGCTAGAAAGATGAGGTCAGTAGGAGATACATCATGGCAAGGTTGGGAAGAGGATATCAAAGATGTACATTAATATGTGTCATTTTGATACTCTTTGTCGTATTTGTGGTTGGATTACTTTAGGCTGGGAAAGAGTATGGCGCTTAAAAAAGCTAAGTTGCAATGGGTAAGAGGGCTGTTGTGAGGTAGAACTTGATACTCCAAAGCTGTGACCATAGGCATTCACGTTTGATCCCCTAGAAATCTGCCTGAGTACCAAAACCCACCCTTGTTTCTAAAACTTAGAGAAACAGATTCTGTAGCTTCCTTGAATGTCTCATTGTCCTGTTTACAGTGCCTGTGTTGGGCAATTTTTTTCTAATTAACATAATCCTGCCACCTTCAGATATAGTTTTGTTTTTCCTCAGTAGAAGTGCTACCTCAGGCTTGCGTATTTACAAAGCATGTTAATGTGATACTGTACAATTTCACTGAATTGTATTCTCTTCAATAGTTTTTTCTTAATCCGTAAATCCTTTTTTCAAAATAATTGAGTAACTTTCTGGCTTTCCTTTAAAGTTTTGTTGAGTTCCATTTTTTTTTCCCACTTTTAGAATCTGAAACAGGTCAAGATGCAGTTGTAAAGTTTGAGCCATGTTTATGACAGAATGTCATTGTTTGAAAGGCAGATGTATTTATGAAATTTTCCTGCTTCTTGGAGTTTTTCTTTTCTTTCTCATTCTATACTTTAAGTAATTTTAAAATATTCCTTTGTCTTTGAATTACTGTATAAAATTTTTTCTGCCGTTAAAGGAAAATTTTGCTGTCAGAGAGGTAATCTCTTGTTTTATGTATACGGTTTTATGCTAGTGTAGTTTCAGAATTTTACATCAGAGTTTTGATGAAATAGCTTTAGACTGAGCATGTGCATAATGGTGTATGGTGAGTTTTCTTCTTTTGACTATAAACTTATCTGACTGTTTTGTAGCACTATTTCTCAGACATCGCAATATCTAGTAGGCGCTGCTAGATCATGAGAAACATACTAAAGTGTATTCGGTTTAATTCTGTTTTTAGTGTGTTGCACATTTTCTGTGATAGAAGCCCTGTTTACTTTTAAAAAATCAAAAGTTTGAGTACTCTGAATATTTCCTCCTGCACACTGTTGGTTAATGAGAATTCAGTGCACTTCTACTCTGATTACCTCAGGTGAGCGCCGTATTACTGACAAGTCATTTTTCCCCTCCATGTCTGATTCACACCACTGTGTTTTGGAAGGTTATTGAAGAAATTGAAGAGATGATGCAGGAATCGCCAGACCCAGAAGATGATGAAACGCCTTCACAGTCAGATCGGCTTTCCATGCTGTCCCAGGAGATTCAAACTCTTACGAGGTCTAGTACAAGCAGCTACGAAGAGAGTAAGAGACCGTCCTTATATCAGTGCTCGTTGTGCTTTTTGTCCATTTCAGATGTGGATGCGGCCATCTCCAGAGAGCTGTGATGCTCACAGGATCATTGCCCAAGGACTGTGTTGTGTTTATCCCTGTGCTAGTTTGCTGGGGCCTCTGCAGCAAAGTACTACATATTGGGTGGCTTGGACAGTTGACACCCATTTCTTCCCAGTGCTGTGGGCCAGAAGCCCATGTTTAAGCTGGCAGCAGGCGTGGTTTCTTCTGAGGCCTCTGCCCCTGGCTTGTAGGTGGCCATATTTTCCCTGTGTCTTCTCATGGACTTCCTTCTACATAATGTCTTTTTCCAATTGCCTCTTCTCATACGAACACCAGTCATTTTCCATTAGGCGCCAGCCTAGTATCTTGTTTTGCATAGCATTCCATTCCGAGGTACAGTCATACCTTGGTACTTGACTGCTTTGAAACTCACTGAATTTGGTACCTGACTCACTTTTACACAAAAATTTTGTCCTGGTAAATGTTGCTTGTTTGGTACTCGATGTTCAAATTAGAACTCATCAGCATCCATTGCCTCTTGGCTTGCTTACCTTTGCAGCCAAAAAAATCTGTTTGGTACTAGTTTTTGGTATACTCATCATGCGTCCTAGTACCAGTGAACTACAAGTGTTAGGGTACCACCGTGCTGGGAGTTACGGCTTCAACATATGCATTTTTGGGGGAGACATAGTTCATCCCATAACAAAATAATAATCAGTAATTCCTGTCTTTATACATAGTTGTTTTTGGTGTAGAGATGAAGAATTTTGGGAATCAAAATTGTGCTTGAATTAGATCTGTTTGACATCCTTAAGAGTAATGAACTATAGAAAACATATACTTGATGACTGTGAAAAGTTTCCAAATACCTACAGCCACCATGTGAATCGTCTGAGACTGGTGTCCAGGCATGCATCTAATCTTCGCCATGTGAGTGTTTCTCTCTCTCCCTAGACAGTGATGGAGTCCTGTCTGCCTAACTCGCATTGTCGCCTGGTATTACATTATGGGAAGACCGGAGATCATCTTTGGGTTGTGTGACTTCCTTTTAACATATGGAAGGTCCTTCTGATGGTCTTTTCCTGCATGCTGCTGTGGATATTTACTTAGCATTGTTAGAGTCCTGATATCTGATAAGATACAAACACTCCATATTAGTTTTCTGGGACTGCCGTAACAAGTACCATACACTGAGGACATAAGCCATGGGAACTCATATTCTCTCAATTCTGGAGCCAGGAATCCGAGACCAAAGTGCTAACGTACTTGTTTTCTGGCAAGGCCTCTCTTTGGCTTGTGGACTGTTCTCTGCTATGTTTTTACACGCTCTTCCTCTGTATGTCCTGTCTTGGTCTCTTGAGTTTATAAGGACAGCCAGTCACACCAGATCAGAACCCAGCCTGATGTCCTCATGTTAATATGATTACCCCATAAACACTTATCTTCACCTCATAGTCACGTCGGAGGTCCTGGGGATGAGACTTTACCAGTGTCCCGTCTCTCACATGAGAGGGAGTGCTGGGAAAAAACGAAAATGAGCTTGCAGGAAATACTGTTCCTTTTCATCTTCTCAGTTGTCAATCAAATCCACACACTGAGGCATGTGTGATTAAATGTGTGCTTAGTTTAATTCTTTCAGATCGACTCCTCCTCTCTCCGGGAATGTCCCAGAACCCTGTGAAATTGCTCAGCATTTCTCCTCAGCAGGTAGTTTCTGTACAACCCCTCAGCTTTTGTGTGCATTACTGTCCATGTGTGAACTTTCTCAGCCTTGACTGGAGTAAGTACTACTCATGGGGTGCTTGATTTATGCAAGTAAAAAGTTTTGTTACGCTTTTCCCTCAGCCAGCGGAGAAGTGACTTTGCCCACTAACCCTCGCTCTCCCCAGGGCCTGCCACACACTCTCCCTGGGAGTTTGAGGCCTCAGAGAAGATCAGGAGCAGTTTAATTGCTTGGAGTATGGTTTTTGTTTCACACAGAACACACACTGTGGTGCTGCTTGGGCGCACTTTTGTCTTAGTGTCTGCTGAACTTGTTTTGGTCACAGGGGTGAAAAGGCTGTCCGTGTCTGAGTTAAATGAGCTCCTGGAAGAAATTGAGACTGCCATTAAGGAGTACTCCGAGGAACTGGTGCAGCAGTTGGCTCTGCGGGATGAACTGGAGTTTGAAAAGGAAGTAAAAAACAGCTTTATTTCTGTCCTTATTGAAGTGCAGAACAAACAGAAAGAGCACAAAGAAACGGCCAAAAAGAAAAAGAAACTAAAAAATGGCGGTTCTCAGAATGGGAAGAACGAGAGAAGTCATATGCCGGGCACAGTAAGTGATGTTTTGCAGGCGGTACCGATGCTGGAGACAAGTGCTCAGCACACCTGGCCGGCGGCAGGGCTGGCAGGTCACACCCGTGTGAGTGTCGCGTCTCCCAGCATGGCGCAGCAGCATTTCTCCCAGAATGTGCTCTCCGTGGTTTCTTCAGCAAGGTGGTTCTTGATGGTGCTTGTAACGGCTGTGGGGCGGGGGGCATAATTGAACACGGAAATGTTTAGGAGGGGAGAGGGGGGAAGGTAGCAGGGGAGAGAGAATGTCTTAAAAGAAGCGTGACCATCTCTAATGCATCAGAATGTGAATGGTGGTTATATTTGGCTGGTGGGTTTATGAATGGTTTTATTTTTTTGTGTATGGATTGTGTGATAAATTAAAAAGGAATCTAGCGGTAGCGCAACTGTCTTGAGCCTCAGTCACTGACATACAGAAAAGGTCCCTCTTGATTTCAAGGTTAGGACCCAAAGGTGGTAGTGGCTGTGTGTGACAGGCACCTGGTTGACCTGCAGACCAGAATACTACTGACTGATGAAAACACATTAGGATATTTGAAACTTTGACCAGAGTGTTTTGTTTTCTGTTTTATCTTTTCTCTCAAATGGTCCTGTTAATTTACCTGATTAAATATTACTATGAACCTTAACTGTGGGTTATATGAGATGCATTTCCTATTAATTTGATAGCTGTCACAGTTCTGTGATCACTTGCGGCTTCCTGTACATTTCTACCTTTTTTTATGTGTGAAAGAAATGTTTAATTTTTAGGGTACAGTGGTTGTGTAAAGGGATCCATTTTTCTAAAGGAGATATACGTATTTCTTCATTTATAACGCTGATAGCATGGTAATACATAATCACATGAAATTATGGCTTAAAGAATATAAATTATCTTTTCTAGAGAAGTAGGTCTCATTGATGAGGTGCTGGTGGAACTTCAGGAAGCAAATACATTCTCTGGACCCCTGAGCAGTGGTTAACACAAGCTGAAAAGATCTTGCCATACAGCCATTTATAATGCTGCTAACCTGGAATAAATTCATATTTTGCTCATGTAATGTTCATCTATATGTAGTCAGAAAGGACAGAGCTTATCAATTGAAAAAGTGCTCATATTTTATTTTTAAGAAATGGCAATATTGATTGAAAAGGTGTGTGTTTAGTCCTTTCTGGAGACTGCTTTGGAGAAAAAATTGTTTGGATGTCCAGTTCTGAGAAGTTTCCTTTAAAATATCAAGGACAGTATTTTGCTGTGCATCTCATATTTTTTAAAAATCGCACTTTTTAAATTGCTTTCTTAATATGAGTAGGATTAAATAAAATGCTTAGTGAAAAAGTTATAATATGGTTGGCAACTTCTGCATATCTGCTTTTAGGGATTACATGTAAAATCCTCTATTTATTGGTGTTAACACTTGGCTGAGAATAAATTTATGCCTCCAGGGGTGTGAAGGCTTCTTTTTGTAATACCCGTATAAACACGGTTAGAGTAGATCCGTTGTGTCATTTTACATGGTGTCTCTATTGGGAAATGGATTTGGCAAGGTAGCATTTAGGTCATATTTGAACCGTGATTAGTCTTGAAATAGACTCTTAAACACTAAGTCTTTTCACAGTATTTGAACTTGTAAAGTCACTTCTTGAATTCTGATCTAATATTCGTGTCAGAACTTTAATTAGGACAGCAGTGGCCTGGCTCAGGTTCTGGTACTTTTTCCTGTGTCTTTTTTTAGCTGAAAATGCCAGAGAATGACCGTGCCATCTGTGACACAAACAGCGTGAGTCCTGTCAATTTTTGAAGACAGATACAGAAGAACCCTAAAGTGACATGGCTAGTGGAATAAACAGATTTCACAAAGTATTACCTTCCAAACCATTTACATAATGTACTTTTTTGACAAGGCCAGATCTCTGTGGGCTAACTATCATCAGTGATGCAAATTTTTAAAAATGGTGACCTTCTAATAGATTTCATGTGTTGCCTGTTTTTCTAATATCAGTCACTTTTTTCTTTGGATCAGAGGTATTTTTGAGATAGCGGAGCTTGAGCTTGTCCTTGAGCATGGAATAGCTTCCTTTCATTTTTCTTCAAGCGTGTTTTTTCGAAACAGTACATCCATTTACTTGTATAATATTTTATCCATAATTGCTAGCTTGTTCTCTTTGGGCCACAGATAGGCTAGTGAAATATCTGGTTGGGAATAGAGCAGAGTTAATTTTAGAGATGTGTTTTGTTTCAAACATTTATTGCAGTTGAGAAAAAGTAGGGCATATAGGAATGCTATTTAGAGCTTCAGAATATTTCACTAAAACCTGAAAATACCTTAAAGAAAGTAGAGTAGCTTAATAAAAGTGAAATGCCAGGTGTGGTGGCACATGCCTGTAATCCCAGCGCTCAGGAGGCTGAGGCAGGAGGATTGCTGTGAGTTTGAGGCCAGCCTGAACTGCATAGTGAAACCTTGTCTTAAAAAGACAAGAAAAAAAAAAAAAGAAATGTTATCTTGAATTGACTTTAACTTTTTAAAATAACTATGTTTTATATTGAGTAAGATAAAACAATGGTCATTCATTCATCAGATATTTGTGAAGTCTGCCTTGTGCCAGGCACTGTTCAAGACACCGTGGCAAAGAAAATAGATAAAGCAGTTTCCCTTTTGGTGCATCATTCTTTTTTTTGTCCCCACGGTCAGTAGCGTGGCTGTCAGGGTAAGGTGGTCGGTAGTGTAGCTGTCAGGGAGTTGTTTTAGACAGGGTGGTCACTATTCCACCGCTACTTCTGATTGGTAAGGGACACTTTCCAGTCCCTTTCCACCTCCCAGTTTGGAAGGAGGTAGAGGAACTTTGGGTTAGGGCTGTGTTGGGATCCTAGTCCTGCCAGTGGGTACAGGAACCTTTGCGTTCTGGAGGGAATCAGTGAAATGATGTATGTCAGAGTTCCATGCACCCCAAGTAAATGTTCAGATAAATCTCCAGCTGGCTCCTTGACATTTCCCCCCTTGGATATTTTGTAGGAACATGAAGTGCCTATTATTAAACCAAATTCACCATTTTCTTAAAATTGAACTTCAACTTTTTTTGGCTTGGTGCAGTTAGTTTACTCACTTTCTGAAACCAGTAAGGTTTCTAGATCAAAGAATTTGCAGTTTTAAGATGACCCGCTTTTTCAAGTTGTTTTATAAAACGTAACCTAATCGTAGTAAAAGAGCAGCCATTTCCCCACTCTTTGCACCATGGACAAGACTAGCCTTCAATATGTACTGATCTGGTCGGCCAGCAGTGGTTCGATATCGGCCGCTTGTGTTCTTCGATAGGGTGCCTGTTGTGTCATTTCAGATGTCTTTCATACTTGCTTGTGCCAGTGCACTTACTTCTGCCGTCGTAGTGTATACTGGGTTGTAACCTCTGACTCCAGTCGCTCCTCTGACACAATGCAGCGTCCTTCAAGACTCATTCATTGTGTCTTCCCAACACAGCACCTTGTTTCTAGGACGTGGAGGTTGAATTCCAGATTTGGAGGTGTAGTATTGGAATTGTTATTATGATTGTTGTTGTTATTTTGAGTCAAGGTTTCACTATATAGCTCAGGCTGGCCTCGAAGTCACAGTGATCCTCCTGGTCAGCCTCCCAAGTGCTGGTGGATTACAGGTGTGCACCACCATGCCTGGCGGTAATGGAGTTACTATTCTGTTTTTAGGTGGGGCAAGGCAGGCTGTATTTCTGTCAAATATATTCATAGGTCATTGAATTTTTTTGTCTTTTATTTATTTATTTTTTTCTGGTACTGGGAATTGAACTCACGACCTTGCGCTTGCCAGGCAGGCGCTGTGCCGCTGAGCTAAATCCCCAGCCCTGGTCATTGAATTTTAATGGCAGTGCTCTTGAGTACAAGAACAAGTTGAAGTATACTAGATTATGTTTTAATTTAGTAGCTGCTGTTCATCTAGAATTAAAGACATTACTGCATACCTGCTTAGCATCATACATTAGTAAACTTGTACTTTTCGAAAACCCAGAAGTGGCCCTGGAATTGGGTGCATGTGAGGTTGCTTATTATAAGTCTGTGGTCAAAAACATAGGGATTGGTAATACCTTTTTGTTTGCTGTAATCATCTTTAACTGTGAAGAGAGTTCTAGAGCCTTATGCTCACCACCCATCAGAAATGTGTAAGTGCTTTGTGTGACATGAAAAAGTTTATTCTGATATTAACGATCAGTGACTAGCAGGTACTGGATAAAGCAAGAAACTGCTGTAAAATAATTGTATTACCCTAGTATATTGCTTACGGGGAGGTTAAGGAGATAATTGCTTAAAGATGAGAGAGAGCTAGAGCTGAAATGATAAATATTCTTCCCCATACACATTTTTTCTTTCACAGATGCCATGTTCTGTCTTATGACTCACTGAGCTCATGTTATCACCAATAGCCAATCTATTTTGTTTTCTGTTTATATGCAAAAGTGCGCCCAGTAATAGTTTTTCATTTCATCTTGACCACAGTTGACCACAGTAAGAGAAATTTATTTTTATTTAGACAGCCACTATTAGATCATCCTGAAGTTACCTGATTTATTCTAGATCTAAGCCTACAAGGAACTATTCTCACACATCTACTTGAATTTGTGGCTTTGATTTAAAACCAACCAATGAAACCAACAAACCAGCCGAAACAGGGATCTGCCCTTTTTCCCTTTCTTTCTAATTTGAAAGTTTTAAATTTACATATTTGCTTAGCTGCTTTAAACCAGGGATTGGCAAAGCAAACTACTACCCAAGAGACAAGTCCATCCTCTTCCTATCTTATAAATAAAGTTTTATTGAAACCAACCTCATCCGTATTCATCTGCAGTTGCTTTTATGCTACAAGAATAGATTCAAATCATTGCAGTCGAAAATGATTCCTATCTAGCCCTTTATAGGAAAAAGTTGCCAGCCCCTGATGTAGTAAAATTAAAAATAAGACCAAAAAAGATATAAATGCAATTTAAGTAAGTTTGTATAAA